CTGGAACTTAGCTCATAAGGGAGCTTGAGGTTTGAAGATAGATTGAAAGTGTAACCTAAAAAGGCCTAAGTAGAAAAATGAATAGGTGGGTAGATGGATGGATGGATGGATGGATGAATGGATGGATGGATGGATGAATGGATGGATGGATGGATGGATGAATGGATGGATGGATGGATGGATGGATGAATGGATGGATGGGGAACTTGAGAGGTGAGGGTGATACCTTAATCCTCCATGGTTAGGAAAGGGGAGCTGTGTGTAGCTCTCTTTAGATGGGATTTTCCCTCTATCTGGACTGGGCCTGATTTTCCCATTTAGTTTGCATGTGTTTCTCTTCTGGGAAAGAGTGAGTTGGCAATGGGGCCCAACAGAAGGATGGAAATTGTATAATGGAATAATTCTGTATAATGGAATAATCAGATGATTATGAAGGCTGGGAGGGACTGGGCAGCTAAGACAAAGGCAGTAGAGCGTGAGGACAGAGTAGGAGGGGAGAAGATCTGGAATCAGTTAACTCAGTGGAACTACAAATTGGATTAAATGAATTGCATTTAATCCTGAGATAACGGGCATCTCTCACTGGCCACATTTTTGCCCCTATTCCCTAGAAGCCACCCAGACAACCCCCTAACACAATTCACTTTTAAGTGGGGATTTCTTTATCTTTTCCTCCAAATAAAGCAAAGTGAGGGGAAGGAGGGGGAAGAAGGATGGGTTATCAGGTGGTTCTTGGTTGAGAGTAAAACAGAACTCTGGGCCCACAGAGGAGAGATCAGGAATACAAGCTCTTTCAGTGGCAAACCCACAACCATTTCAGAATCACCAACAAAATGACTGTAAGATGCTGGGCTGCCATCTTGTCACTGGTGGAGTTTTCCCTCAGTTCTTTAAGTGATTTTGAAAGTTCCCTGAAAAAGAGGACACTAGGCATTTCTGCCTGGGGCCAAGTCTGGGCAGGGAGCTTTTAGGGTAAGAGAATCACTCCTGCTCTCCCCTCAACAAGGAGTGTGACCCAGTATTTAGCAGCAAAGGGGACCACAGTAAGCCTGTCCCACCTCCTACCCTTTTGTGTCCTGGGGCCTCTTCACTCTCCTTTACCAGTCATCTTGTTATAACTATGGAGCTGCGTGTCTGGGGTTATTTGGGGATTTTCAGGGCGAGGGAGGAGGGGTAATTTTTTTTTTTTTTTGCATGACCTCTAAAGAGAAAAACCATATAAACCCAATGATAGCTAGGTATACATAACTTTTGGCATGTGTATATCTATCTATCCTGAGGAAGAGAACTTGATGAAAGATGAGCACTCTGCTCTGTGAATGCTGGGGGATCTTTCCTCTTTTCTGAGTTTCTCTTCTTTCTTTTTGCTGAGTTTCATTGTCTTTTCTTTCTGAGCCTTGTAAGTGTAAAAACAAAAAAATGATTCTTATTTTGTTCTGTCTCGGGAAACTGCAAATAAAACAAAAAAAAAACGGGACAAACTGTTCAGTGTGTGGTAGCTTGCTTTTTACCTTAACCTGGCTCTACCTTTGACTTTGCCTCTGGCCTAAGTCACCTTTGACCTTTCCCACTGGGTGGCCTTATAAACACTGCATGTGTAAACACCCCCTTCCCCCAACCCAGAATAATAGCCCTGGAAAAGTTCCGAATGCTCATCTGGGACAGATGAGAGCTGGCATGGGAGCTGGCCTTGACCCTTTGGTTGAGCTTGTTGGTGAGATGAATGGGACCATAAATGCCCAGTGAAAATCAGCATTATTACCATGAATTAAGAATGAAGGTTGGCTCAGCTCTGGGTGACTTTTACTCATACCAACTCCTGTCAGGGCCCTAGGAGGCCACTTCTCCCTAGAAAAAAGACAGTTCAGGCCAGCCCCACTAGCTCTTCTCTTTGTTTTGGACTTTTCTAGATCCTTGGTGCCCAGGGAAGTAGATCAGACACCAATTACACAAACAAAAACCACCCTGCCAACCACAGAAGGTCCCTTGTAACCTCCACTTTCTGTCTATGACATCTTCTAGTCTTCTCACTTTTACCATGCTCCCTCCTGGACACACTGCACTTATTTACCAAGACCATTCCCCCCCAATGCTGGGTTTGGGCTTGCCCTCCAGCCTGAACAGGGACACGCTAAGGTCACAAGTCAAGTCCCCTGTGGAAGTCAGACCATGAGGGACAGACTGACTGTATCTGAGAGGAAAAGGGCATCAGGGGATAGTGGTGGTCATTGATACATAATAGCCTGCCCACACATTTCCATGGTAACCTCAGAAAAGGAAATACTCCAAACGTGTTCAATGTTCTTTCAGCCACTGCTTGAGTAGAGGTTGGGAAGATGGACAATGATCCCATCACCTCCTGTCCCTTTATCACTCTAATGCCCCCTCCCTTCTCTCAAAGCAGAAGTTGGCAGACAACCTTGGCCTCCAACTCCCCACCACTCTCCTGTCAACTGCTTTCTCAATCTCTGTGGCCAGAGGGCAGCTCAATCACTAACTGCTGTCAGTCAGATGTTATTTTTAAATTCCATTTCCATTGCTTCCTCAGCAAGGAAATAAAGGTTTTTAAAAAAAAAAAAAAAAGCAAAGACAACAATAATGTAAGACATCTTTAACTTTGGGGACCCAAATGACATAGACTGATGGTGACTTAAGATCAACAGAAAGGGATATTTTGTTGGCTTAGCATCACAGACCCGACGCAGGAGGGCCCACACTGCATCCAGCACAAACAGGAGGGTTCCCTGAGACTCCTTAATGAAATATGTGAGTGGAGAGGCTTTCTCTATAAATGACCATTACTCCTGGCCAAAAGCTCAATGGATTCGTGTCCTTTATCATGCCAAAGGACAGATATGAAGTACTCAAGGCCTGGCCCTACCAGCCAAGGGATAGAATACAGGCCAGAGCGAAAAACCCATGGTGTCTGTCTCAGAGCACATGCCAGTGTGTTCAGGGCTCAGCTTACATAACAGCTCTAATTGGATGAGCATCCTTTCCAGGCCAGCCTTCTCCCAAAGGACCTGAAAGAAGAGAGGGAGGGGATGTGCAGGCGACACTGAAAAGGAAAGAAGTGATTTACACAGCATCCAGCACACTCTCCCTCCTCCTCTTCACTGAAAGTCCCTTCTCAAGCCCCTGTATTACTGCACCTCTTAGAAGGTCAATGATTTCATCGGTCTGGGCACATCAATCAGTAAGTGCCAACTAGGTACCAAGCACTGCTGGGTGACAGGGATACAAAGAAAAAAGAAACAGTCCTTGCTCTCAAGAAGTTAATACTTCACAAGGGAGACCAAAGTAGATCATGGGCCCTCTACATATCAGTAGACAATTTTCATGATTTGCTGTGGAAAAAAAAAAAATGGAAAAAATCTTACATGTCAGCCTTTTGGTAATGGATTTTTTTTCAAACCTAGCTAGGCTGGTGCCCAGATGACTGAGGCAGTCTGTTGCTGTGTTCACTGTGTCCACAAGCCCTTCTAGCTTTGTAGGACTGGCTAGCCTCTCACTGGCATAACCGTTCAGATTCTGGGGTCACTTCTGTGCCACAACAAGGCATCAAAGTGAAGAATTTCAGTTTTTGTTGTGTTTTGCAATTTCCTTCTCAAGCTCATTTTACAAATGAGAAAATTGATGTAAATGGGGTTAAGTGATTTGCCCAGAGTCACACAGCTAGTAAGTGTCTGAGGCTAGATTTGAACTCAGGTCTTCCTGACTCCAGGCCTGGCACTCTATTCGCTGCACCACCTCACTGCCCTTCAATATTAGAATTTAGAATTTCTGGAGAAACAGAAGTTCCCTAGTTATTAAGTGGGATTTAAGGTGCTTAAAGTTTAATACCTTACTATATCAGACTTTTGTTTTTTTACTCTATTTATATTTTAATTATATTTATATATAGACATTTTATTCTATGCACACAGCACACCAAGATCAAAGATTTAGAGTCCAGGATGTGAAAGGACTTGCCCAAGGTCACACAGGCAAGAGTGGCAGTCCCAGAATCTGAGCCCAAGTCCTCTGACTCCAAAGCTGTCATTCCTTCCCCTGTGTACTCCATGCCTTCCCGTGATAGGGTAGCATCTCAATGCCAGGTTTTCCCCACATCTTCCTGTGAGGAGATAAAATGAACTGGAAAGGTTTTGAACAGGAAAAACTGGGGTGAGGGACATCTACTCTTCAACTTCGTCTGTTTCTGCAGATCAGTCTGTGAGCCCTGCAGCTCTGAAGTTCTCCAGGTGAGGTTGAGATGGCTACTTCTGCTTTGAAAACTCAGCTAGGAATGTTAAAGGTCCCAAAACTTAAATAAGGAACAGGGAAACCAGAAACTCAAAAATTACAATTACAAAAGGATTTTTCCTTTTAGTGATCTGAAGATGAAAGTTAAGAAGATTACTGTTTATGATTTATTTTCTTTCTCCTCTCTACCCAGGTGCCTTCCAATTTCCCAAATGACAGCTATCATATTCCATTTGGGAATGTACACTGGCCTTTCAAGGAGGATCTAGTGGGGGTTAGCTCTATGACTGTCACATAGTTCCATGGCAAACTGAATTAACACAATTGAACATCCAGACCTTCCTTAATGAACCTCTACATATCCACAGCCAGGTAATATCTTAGTTGTAGACTGAAGAACCCTAACATTACTGGTTAACCTTTTTGTTCTCATTTTTGGAGTTTTCTATCAGAATATAGGTATTTGTGGCAAAAGATAAGGTTTTTTTTTTAACATTAGTGATAAAGAGATACAAAAGACCCAATTCAGAAGGCAGACATAATGGGGTAAGAGAATTGTTGACTTTTAAAGCTGGGAAGTAATGAAGAAATTCTGAGTCTACCTCATCCATTGATAGAAATATTTCCTCAACATAAACAATCTTTAACCACATATTCTGTGGAGGCTCGATGCTAAAAGCTCAACCAGAAAAAGACTCAACAGAGCTAATGATACACCTGTTTTAACTCCTTTAATACCAAAGAAAGCCACAGGATCATTTTCAAATTTCAAGACAACTTTTATCCAGACAGGAATCTCTCAAACAGAACATACAGAAGTAGATAGCGATTATTAAAATACACTCTGCCAAATGATAAATGTTTACACTCTGCCAAATGATAAATGTTTAACAAAAGCATTAAGTTAAAGAAACAAGAAGCTACAATAATGCACAGAAAGGACCAAGTAACATGACACCACTGCTGAAGAGTATCCTCCCACCCTCCCTTCCAAAAGGCATCCTGCTAGCTAGGCCACGCCTCTCGCTTGCCAAAGTCATGCTTAGTAGAGATGCTGAGGCCAAGTTATAGGTGAAAGATTTTGCTTTCTCTTAGTTTTCAAAGTCAGTGAGTTCTCTCTATTCATACTGTAGCACAAGCTTTAGACTGAGTTTAAAGATCTTGTACTGTCTCCTGTCACATTCCAAGGCAGTTTTCAACTCTTGGAACGATAACCAAGGGGAAAAAAGACAAAACCAGAATGGCATTTATCCCTCACATTTAAGAATAATTTGAGTTAGAGCTGAAAAATTAAAAAAAAAAATAGCCAAGTGACGAAGATGAGTACAAAGTCTATTTTTTGGCCATAAGTCTATGGAGTTTTAGCAGGGTTGGGATGGGCAGCCACCAAGGGCGCTCCTTGAAAAGTCTGATGAACTTGAGGTTGCAGGTGACCCCACTCATCGGTACTGGCATTGTCATCTTGTGGCAAGAGGGAGGAATAATATTTCTAGGCCAATTTTGTAGTAGGTACTGTTACCTATCAGCCAGCATAATTTCCAGAGAAATATTGTTGCCAACTGCAACTATAAGGAAGTGGTATCCACTAAAACACTTACAGTTGAATTTGTCCCCTCAATAACCTAAATTCTCCAGTGAGTTTTATGCCAGTTGATATTTAAGATGACACTAGTCCTGAAAAAAGTTCACAGAGCTAAAGAACGCTTGACTCAGTGCACTATCTGGGGCCCAAATATCTTACAGTTAGTATAGACCCTCTATGGCCTTTGCCTTCACCAAGCTGAGCCAAGGGAAGTAATTTCTTGGGAACAAGGTCCAACTAATACTCAAATAAAAGATGCTCATCAGAGGATGCAGGATCATGCTGACTCAGGGCTTCTGTGGTGACTGGATATCATTAACAAGTTTAGACTCTCCTTTTGCAGCCCAGTTCTGGCACACGAATTACTCTGCCTACAGAAAATACTGTACAACAACAACAAAAAAGCAGCTCATATACATCCTATTTAGACGTGGCAACAAACATCTGTCCAGGGGCCAAGACTGCTTAAGACGACCTAATACCCTAATCTGATCACCTGAGCACTCCTGCCTGGTTGCCTGACTACTTTTGCTTTTAATACCTTAAGGGAAGAAGAGGGTAAGTCTAAGCCCTCGAGGAGCAACAGCTAGAAGCAAGTGTAGTTCAGTAGGCCAAAAGAAATCGAGTGCCGAGATCCTGTTAATGCTGAATAAGTCAGTGTTACATTTAGGCAGCTAGACACTGAAAGGGCCACAGAGCTTGGCCTATGTTCATACAAAAAGGTGCTTTTAAGCACAAAGGAAGCCAGATAATATCCTCAGCATTTACAGAGGATTGGGCACTCTGCCTCTGCCAGGTTGGGAGCCTCTTAAATGTGTCTGCCAGCCCCAGGACAGGGGCAGATATGCCACGGCATAGCTGGCACACTTTTCCCGGTATAAATCAGCAGATGGCAGTATGGGAGTCTCAAAGACATTCTCCTATTAAGACTCATCAAAATGGATAAGTCCCTAAGGCAGTCACATGGCCAGAAGGGTAAGAGAACTAAGGTTAACTTTCAGTGCAAAAAAAAAATCATTTGGAAAAGTGGTTAAAGAACACACTATTTTGGATCAGAATTGTAATATTCAAGATATGTCAAATCACTGCAATGCTGTGAGGGGCTGCTCAAGATGCAATGCTGGTTGGGTCCCCTACCCCCAAATGATACCCACAGCTGATTATCCTCAAATTAACCAGCTTTAATAAAGTGCCCTACTTTCTTTCCTTTGCTTCATTTCTAGATATGTTGGGTAGGATAACCACTGCTCGTTTACATCATTAAGTATATCTGAGCTCCTCTCATAGACCTCCCCACCTCGAATGAGTTCTAGAGAACTTTATGGACAAGTTTGTCAGGACAGGTCATGGGCCTCACTACAAGGCAGCACTGGAAGAAATGGGAACACATGTACAAGGTAGAAAACAAAGCTTGTTAGGGTCCAAAGAAGTTTTAGGTTATTTGAGGTATGTTCCTTGTTTCTCACTATAAAACTTCTCCACTGACTTGTCAGGGCCTCAAGGCTTCAGTTTTTTCTCTTTTGAGAGGGCTCCCACTTTCTCTGAGGACAAAGATGGTAAGGGGTCTACTCAAAAATAAAAGGACCTTCATGATTGATCTAAGGAAGGGAAGGAAAGGGGACCCTCATCCACGTGTGGCTGGGTCATCAGAACTCACTTTCATCAACTGCTAAGAAGGTCCTCTACCAAGCCCTGCACGGTGGCAAAATTCCCATTTGTCTTTAACTGTACAGTATTCATCTGGAGTTACTTCCTTCTAGTGTTATTATAATGAATGTAAAAAATAAAATTAAAAAGAAAACAAACCAAAAAAACCAGAATCAAGAAGAGATTTGGTCCTGACTTTCCTGTGAGGTTTTGCAGAAGTCAGGGGGCCCATCAAATCCCTCCCAGGAAATTTATCAGAGAAATGAGCCCTTCAGCACCTACAGGAGTCATTGAGAATTTTTGTTTCATTCTGCCCCCAAATATTATCTTTTTTGAGGCTCATATTATCTTTCCTTTTGGTGAAAAATTACACTTAGGCATACAAACATCTCCCCAAAGTCCCTCCCACCTTGCCCTCCTCAGCTCATCCCAGGGGCTGATATCTGAAATGGAATATTCCCATTTCAGGACACGATTTGAGTCTGTTTCTTCTTTCCTGGGTGCTTTACAGTTCTCAACATGAATGACAGGCAAAATTTCCAGAGCAGGGTCATCACTGGTTGGGGGTCACATGATCTCACAGCATGAGTTTTGTTTCCGGGCCTTGGAAGAAATCAAGAATTGGGAAAGGAAGGTTAGAAAAGTTAATAGATAATAAGGACAGTGGGGAAACGTGCCTTTTCTCTGGGAGCCACCTATCAGGGAAGGTTGTAACAAAGAACTCTAATGTCACAACTGATGTCCACAGATAAGGATGCTGTCTGATGGGACCTAGATCTCATACCTATGCTTTCACAATCATGTTGAGGCAAGGGATTAGAAATGGACAGGCTAGAGAGAAGCCAGACTTTTTATTTTGTACTTCCACAGAAAATACAAAACCCTAATTCACCCTCAAAAACAGAAATTAGGGCTATCACCATAAAGTTAGTTCATGTCACTAGAAACACAATAAATTAATATTTTTAATGCTAAGGCTTCTTCTCACATTCCATCAATATGTTAAAAAGTCTTTTCAGCTAATTGGTTCCAATTAATTAGCCCCCATGTCCCAGTTCTCCCTCTTCCACAAATTCTGATCGGTTTTATACCTTTTGTTCATATAATTTTAACATTTTTCTCAAATAGCTCAATTGGTTAGAGAATGATGCTAAGGAGGACAAGACTCTGAGTATAAAACTCAGTCAACAAACATCTGTTATGCATCGACTATGTGTAAGATTCTGCCCTTGCTACTGGAATACAAGGAAAACATCAGAGCTCAAGGAGCATACAATGCGTGTATGCATGCGTCAGACAGAAAGACAAAGACAGACAGGTGTACAAATAATACAATTTAGACTGAGTGCAAAGGAGAAGTCCAACAGGGAGGCAGGAAATTCTATGAAGGAGAGATCACTCCCAGTTTTATTGAGATCAGAGGCTTCATGAAAGAAGTGCCACTTGAGCTGAATCTTAGAGGGAAAGGACATCCATTGGTGAAGATAAAGAAAGAATCTCCACATGCTAGATACATCCCATGGGAAATGAGTGCATAAATACACCAAAGCAGGAGATTGTACGATGGTATCATGAAGTCCCATATGGACCAATCAACACCATGGTTTCAGAGCCACCAATCATATCTTTAACCCCACTGAGGTGTCTTACAAATGCATATTGGTTATAAAGTGAAAATATGTGGCTGGATCATTTAAGTCTAGACAAAACTTGAAGCTCATACCTTTCTTCAGTTTTTTAATATTGCCTTTTCTGAGCACTGTTGTTTTTAACATGCTGTCCATCCCCCTCTCTTCCTTTATACACTTAGCTGCTAATTTGTTATAACCTTCCAGTAGAATATAAGCTCCTTGAAGGCAGGAACTTTTTTCTTTTGATTTTATATTCTTGATGCCTTGCACACAGTAAGCATTTAATAAATGTTGATTTAATTGGTTTAATCAATTTATTCAAAAGAGTAAACAAAATCACATGGTAAGCAACCCTTTCCTTTGTGAGGAGGGTCTAACTTCAGGAAGTCCTTAGGGGGTAAAAAAACATTACTGACCTTAAAATGAAAAAGATTAGCTTCTTCCATAAGACAGACAACTAGTAAAGTGGCAGTTTGGGATAGTGTTAAGGGTCCCTGATCAGAAGTCAGGGTCCTAGGGTCAAATCTTGACTCCAACACTTACAACTATGTGAGCCTTATTTTTCTTATTTATAAAGTAGGGAAAAAAACATTGCTGAAAGGAAGTTTTTTTTAAACCTTCAAGTACTTATAAAAGTATGTTGTTGCTGTTATTAAAAAAAAACCCAAAACCAAAGATTTGGCATTAGAGACATCACAGAATCTCCTGCCTTCCCATGTAACTCGAGTACTGGCAAGCCCTTCCTCCTATAGGAAACCCATTAGAAACTGTTTCCCAGAAGAGGCTCTGCTTCCAAGCAGCTCTAGATGCTCTTCTTTTCCGTGCCTCAGATCCAGAAAGCACCGAGGTACAAAGCTACCATGATTCCTGCCTTCCGCCTTGCAAAGATATGGATGTGACCTTGTATGTACCAAGAAGCTATTCAATGCCCAAAGAGTTAACTCATCCCAATGGCTACTGAATATTCCAAGAAAAGTCTGGCATCCTAGAAAAAACACATGTAATACAGCAGGGCTCCTTTTAAGAAAAGGCTTTCTAGGAAAGAGGTGAGGGTTGCAAGTACTTACGGTTTTATAGAAGGCTTTGGACTGTGTTCCTAGCACTTCTGATTTGGACACCAAGTCATCTAGTTTTTCTCCTCGTTCTAACAAAGACTCCATGGTGTTATGCTGGATAAAAGAAAAAAGAACTCTGTGCAAATAAATGAGGAAAGACCAGCTATGAGCGCAGGCACTTCGAAGTGAACACAGAAAGAACTTCAGAAAGTTTAGTTAGTTCATTTATGGAATCACTGTCATTTGGACCTGTCCTCTGAGTGTCAACCAAGTACTCCAAATCTAGCACAAAAAATGCTAAGAACCAGAGAACGGTTGGTCAAAATTATTAATGGAAACTATCTAGAAACCATTATGGAACTCAAAACACTTCTAATACACATGCAGAACATATCCCAATAGGAGAGTTTTCTATTACCACTGGGTTAAAGGTGGACTTTTTCCTGGGATGAATGATATTAAAAACCCTGGCAACTGTTACAAAAAGCTCATAGGATGTTGGGGGAGAATCAGTCCACAAACCAAAACTCTTCTACCTTAGGTTTTTGTTCTCTTAATTGACTTTATTTAAGGTCTTGTAATTACTATAAGGGGAAGCATGGCAGAGTGGGTAGAGCTGGTCTTGAAGCCACAAAAACCTGGGTTTAAATTCTGCCTCTGACAATTACTAACTGCATGACCCTGGTTACAATTTTCAGAGCTTTAGGCTACTCTACAAGACTGTAAAAAGTTCAGTATAGTACATTGGATAGGGTTTTGGAAGATGTATGTTGAAGTTACTTCTATAACACATGTTGGCTGAGTAACCCTCAGCAAATTACTTAATTTCTTGCTGCTTCAGACAGCTTTAAGATTATAAGCTGCAGAACAGTTACTGATTTACATTGGTAGAGGGAGTTTGGAGACAAAATAAAATTTTAGGAGGACTGTATAACATTTACATCATTGCTTTATACTAACTACATCAATATTTTTTAACTTCTACATTGGGAAATTTTGTTTTGAAAATTAACAATATTTAAACTCCTAGAAACCACCACTGCTTTTAAAAACCAAGATAATGGGAATGGAATGCAAGATAATCAAGAACTGCCAAGAATGAAAAGGGAAACTACCTTCTCTTTGAGGCCTTACTGTCAGTTTGCCACACAGTGTCCCAGTGTACCATAGCTGGTCACAGCTTCATAAACAACTTTAAAGTGATACGTGGCAAACATATTTGAATTTGCAGAGAATGAAAAATACACTTTAAAAAAGCATTTCTAAATAGGTAAAGGAGGATAAATTAATAACTCTTAATTCATCTAAATGATTTTATAAGATAAAAGGTCTGGTTTAACTGGATCCAGATTATGAATTTGCAATTCCAACTGAAGTTTTACAACAAAGGACTCATTAGCCAACAATTCTAACTTGACAAATTATAGATAGAAGCTGAGCTTTGATAAGAATTCCTCTGCTCTCCAGAGTGGAGAGAAAGAGAATAAAAGACCAAAAAGAAACAGCAGATTTCTTCCAAGTTCCACACCAAGGGTAAATTCTTCAGCAGATCCAGGCATCCAAAGATGTGAAAAGCTGAGGGTTATCATCAAAAGCCAGAAACTAAAATCCAAGTAGTAAGGAAATATAGATGTACTAAGAAAGACATGGAGATATAAAAAGAAATCAATCCCCAGATATATCCATCATCTCAAACCTTTAAAGAGTCTAATCCTTACTGCTAATGAAAATAAGATCTATAAAGGAGATATTCCCAAAAGCAAAGGGTACAAAGGATGTGGATTCCTTGTAGAAGGGATTTAAAACTTTGTATCTAAAACAGAAAGAGGCATGTGGTACTGTGGAAGGGGACTGGACTTGGGAGTCAGAAGCCCTGAGCTTCAAACCCAGTTCTGACATTGTGTGTGGCCCCAACAAGTCACTGAACACCTTCCTTTCAGCACATTTCATATGTAAAGCTGAGGTGGTCACACCACCTATCTCTCAGGAATGTTTGCAAAACCCTCTTTGTGAAGGCTAAAAAACCCCGCCTCAACCTAACCATAATATAACCTTCTACCCAAACCTTCAATGGAAAATTGCTACATCTCCCAATTTCTACTCACCAGAATGATTTTGGTCTCATCTAACTCAGCTTGCACTTTCGTCATGGGGTCAGCTTCTCGAGGATTCTAGAAAGGAATAAAAACAGGCCAGGTGAGTGGTAATCACATGAGACCAAATTAAAAGGAAGCAGGGAAATGTAAATGAATAAGACAAACACTGTATTTCCAGCTTCTTGCTGCAGAAACAAGGTGCAGAAAGCAAGATGCTGGATCCCAGCTTTCAATGCCCCTTTTAACAATCAACAATCAGCAATGAAGTTCTAAATTCCCAAATTGTGAAAGGTTGTTTCAGATTCTCCCATTTTTTCAAAGTCATATCATCCAGGAAGTCAGTCTGCTTAACAGACCTATGGGAATCAATGCAACAAACCCTTGTTAAGCACCTACCCCTTTACAACATGAGAGGCATAAGAGGTGGTGAGGAGATGTAGCTAGGTCAGAAAGCCCCACAGACACTCTGGAGCTGTGACAACAGGCAAAAGCCACTCACCCTCTCCATCCCCAGGCCAGGCCCTCTAAGATTATAAATTGCAGATATTGAGCTGTATCAGTGAAGAGAGTTTCCACTCTACAGAGTTTTCTCTACACTGATTAAAAAATAAGTGTGTACCAAAAAGAAAATGTACCACGTACTGTGCTTGGAGCTGGGAATACAAAACCAGAAACAAGAAAGTCCCTGCCCTTGAGAAGCTTCCACTTTAGTGGGAGGATAAAAATGTAAACAGGTAAGAAAACATAAGGTCATTCAGGAAGGGAAGAGCACCAACAGTCAGGGGAGACTGGCAAATGCTTTCTCCAGGAGGAGTATTTAAGCTAAGGACTGAAGGAAGTTAGGAATTCAAAGAGGTGGTGGTAAAGAGGGAGTGCACTGCAGGCAGGGAGACTGCCTGTGCAAAGACTCAGTAGAGGGAGATGGGATATCACACAGAAGTAACATCATGTAGAGGTAGTCAGTTAGCTGGAATGAGGAATGGTGGTTGTGGTTGTTGTTGTTGAATTGTATCTGACTCTTCACGACCCCATTTGGTGTTTTCTTGGCAAAGATACTGCAGAGGTTCACCATTTCCTTCTCCAGCTCGTTTCAAAGATGAGGAAACAGGCAAACAGGGTTAAGAAGGAATAATGTGAAACAAGTCAGGTAAAGGAGGCCGGAGCCAGACCATTTGGCTTTAAATACCAAAGCAGTTTGCATTTTATCCTAGAGCAACAGAGAGCAATTAATGATTCATGATCAGGAAACTGACATGATTAGAACTATGCTTGAGAAAGATTACGTGCAAAATGCACAGAGGATGGACTGGAAGTAGGGAAGCTATTCCAATAATCCATATGAGAGGTGATAAGAGAGTTTGAATTAGAGTGACTGTCATCTAAAGTACTTTGTTAGTCTAATATTTTCATAATCCTAAACAATACAGTCTCTTTCACACATAACATTTTTCTTGAAATATTACCTGATATCTACTAAGATAACTATCCAGGGCTGTGTAATGTATCGTAGCAGGAGATCCTACTGGCCAGTCTATCTTGTCAACCTGCTTAGAGAATTCATCTAGTACCTACAAGAAAAGGCAATATATTTCCATCAGTGTTCCCACCACAAGATTCTCAGGGCACAAATCAAATAAACGTCAAGTAGTGGTCATTATGTCTCTAGCTCTCTAAAAATATTTCCATACTTACAAAAGCCTAAGACTAAGAAAAGGTTATTTAATGGAAAAAGTGAATCAAACTTAGAGCTCTCTCCCTCCTTTTCCCAAGTACCATTGAAACACACCAAAAATCTGACCAATGCTATCATCAATCTTGACTTCGGAGAGCTGACAGTGAAACATCTCTCCCTTTTCTTGGCAGAGAGATGATGGGCTGCAAGTATGAAATAATATGCATGCTGTCAGACTTGGCCAGTATTTCACTTACCTACCTATACTTCTTTGATGCAAGAGAAGGTTCTAATGGGGAGGAGCAGGAGGTGGCAGTCATGAGGAAGTAATAGCAATGTAAAAAAAACCAATAAAACAATATTTTACATAGAAAAAATGGCAATGCCATTATAAAAAGAAAAACTTCGAGAAAAGAACGATTTTGAAGTAAGGAAGACAACTCTGTTTTCGGCATGTTGAGTTTGTAAGGATAGCAATCAGAGGAGGTACTGAGAGCTCTAACTGTAGATGGTACTTAGGAAAGGCATTTCAATCCCTCATAACTTAGCAACTGAAGTATGTTTTCATACCCTATATTCTCACTAATGCCCACACACATTTTCTCAAAGTTCTGTCAAACCTCTAAAGTAACTCACCTTTTCCAACAAGGTGAAAGCCACCCGGGAGGGATATTCATTGTCTGCAATAACCACACCTGCAAGGCCATCGTTCCGTACGTACACATGACATAAGTACTCTGAGTAGGCAAGAAGTCACATGTGAGAAAAGTGGCATGTGGGGGTTTGAAGGGTAGGGACTGAGGTGTGTATCTCTGAGAGGCAGCACAGATTAAACATGCTGGACTTGGAGTCAGAAGACTTAGGTTTGTATTCTGGTTCTTACACTACCATGTGACCCTGGGTGAGTCACTTCACATCTCTTGAGTCTTCATATTTCATTGTTTATAAAAGAGGGATAACAATAATCATACCTCAACAAGGTTGTTGTGGGTGTGCTATAGAAACCTTAAGGTGCCACATTAATGTGAGGTGCTGATATTTCTATCGCACAAACCCAGATAAATGCCACTTGAGAATCAGATCTCAAAGTTCACAAATAAGATATTTAGGGACTCATTCTATAGAGCTGCTGGACCAAGAGCCAGGGAACTCTGAAGTCAGATACCTAAATGTCAGTTAGGTTAATGGGAAATAATAATAACACCTGACATTTATATAGCACTTCAAGGTTACATGATAAGCAAGGGTACAATATGTGATATAACTGATATAAAAACATCAGTCAAGTGCTTGATCAAAACATTTTTTAAACCAGGCAATAACCAATGACTTTATTCACTAAAGAATTTTTAAAAGGCCAGTATAGTAGCAAGATCTCAAAGGTAAAAGAAAGATATCAACTTATAAACAATAATGTATTTGATGTTAAGAAACTGGCCACAAAAATTCAAATGCCAAACAATAAGACAACCAATAAGAGAAAAGAGTAAGGAAAAAAAAAAGCGAGAAGGAAAATCACAGATGTGAGAGAAACTTTAAATAAAGGCTTCATTATTCTATTTCTGAGGAATGAGAACTACAGGGAGGTCTGAAGACTTATAGTCATTCATACCAAACATAATAATTAGTATTTATGGCATCAATAGTCATTTCACAATCTTACCCGACAACAAAGGTGAGTAAAGTCAACATAAGACTAAGGTGGTTACGACTGTGAGTTTCTGAACAGCTTTCCTGACTTATGCCTGTAACACATTCCCCTCTTAAAGAGGTGACAAATACAAATGAGGGACAAAAAAAAAATCTCACAATTCAAAAGGCCTAGGTCATGGAAAAGAAAAGTACTAATAGTACAAGAATAGAAGTCAGATTTCCAGATGCCTAGTTCAACATTCAATGACTATACTGTATTAAACTTTAATCAACAAAGCTAGCTGGATATCCTTTTTTGAGAGGACCATAACCAGTTGGAAAGATACCACAATATACCAGGTTGGTTTTGGATGCTTAGCTAATATTTAGTATCAAAGGCAGTTCTCAAATCTTAGTGGAGAAACTGCATTAAGAAACCAAATCCCCATCAGTGGGCAAAGTATTTTACGTGAACAAGGCCATCGAGAGGGAAGAAGAGAAGACAACGAATAGTAAGGAAAAAAAAGTAGTAGTCCTAATGTCTCACAAGCAACGAAATACCTGAGTAAGTTACATTTTGCTTGTGAATGTAGACGCTGAATATCCACTGGTCTTATCTAACTTTACACCAAAGCTAGTGATTCTCCTTACCTTGTTCTTTGACAGAGGCTCTGCTACCTTTCTCTGAGCGTTCCACAATCAGTTGACTTGTAAAGGTCATGAATTCCTGAACACTGAAAAACATAACAATGTTAGTCTAATCTATCTTACTCACCTCACCTTGTCCAAATGCAAAGTAAGGTAACCTCTGAGAGCTTACATATAGTCAAATAGCCTAAGACTCTTGCTTGCAGGAAACTCAGATATCCTTCCCTTCCAATATTATAATATAAAAATTTACAAATGAAATATAATAAACTGCTCAATAATCCTTATCACTATGCAATTATGTTAACCACCGTATCTGTTTGCTATATATCCCAATATTACAACCCACTTCCAACCTTTTAGAAAACTACCTGGCTAATGTATTGTTCCATCCACTCTATCAGCTAAAATTCTGAGCAAAGCATGATAGACTGGGTACTGAGGAAAATTAGAAAAGTAGCCTTCATATTAAAGGCACAGGAATATACAGTTCGAATAACTATACAAAGTATATGTACAACCAAATACAGAGATATATAAAACTACTAAGATATACACAAGTGTAAAGTATTCAGCAAGAGGGCTGATTAGAATGGCTATACTCAAGTGGGACTGGTTCATAAAGGCTACGTGAAAAGAAGCGTTTAAGGATTTTGAAGTAGGGGAATGACAATGATTTAGTTAAGAAAGCTAAGGTATAAAAGTACAATGTTTCACATGAGAAAGGCTTATACAAAAAGGCCAGAAGGCAGGAGAAGGCAAATCACATGCACAAAGTAGTTATGCTTTGCTAGAATAGATTAATCATAGTACAGGGTTGAGCGGAAGATAAAGTGTCTACATCAGGACCTTTAATCTAATACAAGACCCAACAGGATTCTGAGAAGGTGGCATGATCAAAACGATTATTGAAGAATGCTATGAACACTGGATACTGTCATTTGGGGATCAGTTGAAGGAACTGGGGTGTTTAGCTGGAAGAAGACAGGGGAGATGAAGAATGAAGTATGCCTTCAAGCATATGAGGGGCTATTACATGGAAGAAGGATTAGATTTGTTCTATCCAGCCTCCAAGAGAAGAACTAGCAACAATGTGTGGAAACTGAATAAAGGAAGATTTCAGCAAGTTGTAAGAAAAGGTTTCTTGGCAATTAAAACTAAGAGTAGAATGGGCTGCCTTAAGGGTGGAGGGAGTGGGTCAGTAGGTTCCCTATCTCTTTAGGTTTTCAAGTCAAGTCTGGATGACCATTTGCTGGAGAAATTATAGCAGGGATTTCTGTTCAGAGAGGAGTTCAAATAGGTGACCTCTAGTAAGGCCGTCTAATTCTGAGAATTTTCTTAATATTTTTACACAGCCTAGAGGGGAAGGAGAATCTAAAGAAAAAGAAACTTTTGAAAAAGTCCTGGAAAGACACAGTTAAAGCTGTGACTAGGACTATAAACAAAGAGACGGCAAGTTGTCCACAAAAAGTTAAGGGTAACAGACCCTTGCTTTTGCAAAAGCAAAATAAGCTGTAAATGATTCCAAAGCTTATAAGGTTTTGGGACAGTGATAATAGACTGAAGTAAGAAAGCAGGGAAAATGCTTATTTTTCTTTTCTTTTTTTTTTTAACAACATCCAAAGCCCATTTTGGGACAGGAAGGATTTCAGATGATAGTGTGATGCAGTGGAAAGATCACTGGACCAGCAGCTGAGACATCTAGGTCTGCATCCAGGCTCTGCCTTGCAACGATGAGGAAATCAGGAATTTGCTGGATTTCAATTTCTACATCTGCAAAATGGGGATAACTGCTTTAGCTACTTTGCAGGACAATTACGTATGCAGTTATGTATGCAAGACACACAAATGATATCAAGTTGTAAAATACTTTACAAATACAAGATTAATAAGTACTACATGATTAATGTTAAGTGGAGCTATTCTGTAAACAGTGAAAAAATTCTGACCAGATGTGAAATTAGGCCTAAAATTGTAATTGTGATAAGTACAAGTTCTTAAAACAATAAGCACTCCAAGGAAGTGAAAGTGAAAAGAAAAGGCTTAACACCAAAATCATAGTGATGGCCCATAATTAACGGGCAGAAAAAATTGGGAGTCAGCAAAATCACCAAAGATACAGTCTGAGAAAAACAAAGACAGAGGAGTAACAGAAGACAAAATTTAAAAGAATGCCAACAAAATGGTAGCCAAAATCAATAGAGTACTAGAATGAGATGGAAAAGGTTTTTTGGACTTGATCAGGGACTCACTGGCAATATACTTTTGGCAAGTAAGAAACAGTGAAAACAGAAGGCAGACTGCAAATTTCATCATACGCCAATAAAAAATGCTAAACGAATTAACCTGGCAGGGATACTGCTCTAATGATTCCATGCACCCTGTGGCCTGCAGGCAAGAGCTAAAAGATTAAATGCATTTGGCCAGTGTGGCTTCTGGTGTGCCACTCTATTAAATACAAATTATGACTGAATACTAATTAAATGGCTCCCAAGTTAGTGGAAAATTTGAGATCCAAATTTAACCTATCTGGGGCTAGAATCACCCACACCACTTATCTGTATAAAGGAAAAAAGAAAGATAAGCTCTTCTAGAATTTTAGGAAAAAAACATTAGCCTCTTAGGTCCAACCAGTCCTATGATGGATTGGGGTCAGAGGGCCTGGGTTCTGGGTGACTAGTCCATACTGGCTACTTAACACTTGTGGGAAATTGGACAAGTCACTTCCCCCTCTGGGGAAGTCATTTTCCTCCTCTTTAAAGTAGAGGCGGATATTTTGGTCTGTATGGGCTCTAATGCCTTTTCCAGCTCTACATAATTAATCCCCTATTTCTAGGACTCCTTAAGCATCATTTATCCTAAGTTACCCTCACCCACTGATCACCCATCACTAACATAAATACACATAAAAAATGGCATAAATATGTCATAATCACATTTGCAGAACTGAGAGAAGGAAGGAATCTTAGAGATCATCTAGTCCAATCCAGCCAGAAAAATCCAAAAACAGCATGTATAGAGTGCTGGACTTGGAAAGCCCTGGTCAAAAACTTTGTGACCCTGTGCTAGGTGTTTAACGTTCGTCTGCTTCTCCACCTGCAAAATGAAGATAATATTAAATCTCACAGGACTGTCATAAGGATCAGGTGAAATACTGGACTTAAAATGCTTTTCAAGGCGCCAAACACTAAGCAACTGTCACTTATTTCAACTATTGCCATCTCAGCAAGGCATGATGTCACTCCAGGCAACCAGCCCAGCCCTAAGATGGGGAAGTCTCTGGGGTCCCCGAGGGGGTCCAATGTGGGACCGGGCCTTTCCAGCCCCGCCAGGCCACGGGCCGAACACCCACCTAGACCGCTGGAAGAAGCTGAAGGAGGACACGTCGTAGGCGGCCTTCAGCAGGATGGCTTTGGAGTCTCCTTTGTAGAGGACGCTGAGGCTATAGAGCTTCATGGCGCCGGGGCCAGCCCCGAGGAGCCGCCGCCTGCCGCCTTCGCAGCCTGGACGCTCGGGGAGGAGCGGAGAACTCGGGCTGCGCAGACGAACCGACACACAAGACACACAGAAGCCCGGCTGACCGAGGCGGCCCGGAACGCCGCGTCCCGCCCCACGTCCCAGCCCCTCCCGGGGCCCGGAGCACCGTAAGCGGCCCACCAGACACCGCAGCCACCGCCCACCCCACACCACAGCCACCGCCTCCAGCCGCCCGACGACCTCACCGGCGCCTGCAGCTGACGGGACCAAAACTCTAGACTTCTTCCTCCTCTCCTGGTTCCGGTTCCGGTTCCAGTTCCAGGGCTGCTCTAAACAGAAGGAATGCTTCCCTTACCCCGGATATAAAAGGCTGGAGCCGGAAGCGATGGAGCCTGGGATTGCCACGGAGCGACCAGACGAGGATTGAGCAGTACGCATGTGCGGTGAAGGCTCCTCCCAGTCCTGCCTTCCCCCTCCCACCTATACAAACATTTGTTAAAGGAGGGGTGGGTCGAGTTCAGTGGTAAACTGTGGGAAAAGCAATTCTAAAGTGAGACGCGTCCCTGCCTTCGAGAAGCTTACGTTTTCCGAGGGGGATGCAGCGTAGTATCATAGCTCTAGAGCTGGAAGGAATCTCAGAGTTTTTATTTAGACCTGCTCTCTCGTTCTTTGGGTGAGGAAACTGAGGCCCAGGGGAGTTAAGGGAGTTGCCTAAGGTCACGCAGGTAGTGTCTGCAGTTTCCTCTGCCCTCTTCTTTACCATATGTCTGTATGCCCGCACGCATGCGTATATGAATGTGTGCATGTATCGCTCATGTGTTAATCCAGGTAAAATATAAGCCCCTTGATGGCAACTATTTAATTTTGTCCGCATATCCCCAGCACATAGCAGAAAGTTTAGCGTATAGTAGGTACTCAGTAAATGGCGATTAATTAATTGATTGGGCCTCAGGGATAGATAAATACAAGCTACATACTGAATCAATACGAAGTTTTTTTTTGTTTTGTTTTTAAGGTGGAAGGCAGTATGATTAAGAAAGGCCTTTTTAAAAGAAGGGGTACATGAGTTGAACCTTGAAAGGAGCTGAAGAGAAAGCATTCCCAGCATAGCGGGATTGCCTGCGCAACGTCGCAGGTGGGAGATACAATGTTAGGGAACACTAGGTGGGCCATGTTTGTCTAGTGTATGAGTGTAGGAGAGGGGATAGATAGTAGTTGGGATGGTAATCAGGATGAAAAGGAATTCTGGAGGCAGATTGTGAAGGACTTGAAATAGCAAAACAGTAGTTCTGCAGTCTTATTGTGTTTCAAAGTCATCACCTACCAGAAGAATATAAGAAAAATAGCTGGCTTTTAAATATGGTAATAGGTTTTAAGAATGCTTGCATTTTAAGCATTTCTTCTTAGACCTAGTCTGCTTTGTACATTGGCTATCTTTCTATAAGAGACCCTATTTATCTATACTAGGTGGATCCCAGAAAGGAGCCATTCTTAAGCTTGTTTGTAGAGTTTTTCCCTATCTGCTCTGAGATGGGGGCATAATGAGCCTGAGGGTATGAGAAGAACCAGAACCCCTTATTTTGAGGTTGGACTCCTCTAGAACTAAACTTTGTCTATGTGAGTCCAGAGCTGAAGGATCTTGTGGGAGAGGTCAGTCTCCTTGGTCACAGGTGACTGACTCCAGGAACACAGGGAGTACATGGCTGGCATATGATTGGAAAAGGAAGAAGGGTTGACTGTGCAATGGTATCCTGAAATACAGAAGTCCTGGCAGGATCCTAGTGACCCCAGTGCCAGTGTGGTCTCTACCCAAATGGCTTCTAGCCACCAAGACAAAGATAAGAAGAAATCCGCATACAATGCATGTGTTCAGAGACATAGGAAATTGAACTTGTTTGTTAGTTATATCATTATCTAATTCAGGGATGGGAAATCTGTGGTCTCAAGGCCACACGTGGTCCTCTAGGTTCTCAAGTGTGGCTCTTTGACTAAATCCAAATTTCACAGAACAAATACCCTTAATAAAAGGATTTATTCTGTAAAACTTGGACTCAGTCAAAAGGCCAAACCCAAAGACCCAGAAGGTCACATGTGGCCTCAAGTTCCCCACCCCTGGTAATTAGTCTACATTTTCCCTTTTCTTTTTTTCTTTTTTTTTTTTTGTTCGAGGCAATCAGGGTTAAGTGACTTGCCCAGAGTCACATATCTAGTAAGTGTCAAGTATCTGAGGCCAAATTAGAACTCAGATCCTCCTGACTCCAGGGCTGGTGCTCTAGTCACTGCACCACCTAGCTGCCCCCTCATCTTTTCTATAGCATAATATGATACTATCAAATACTTTATTAAAATCTAGGTATAATGATAATGATAATAATTAGCATTTATATAGTACTATATGGTATTCAAAGTGATTCATAGGCATTAACTTAGTTGAACTATAGCTACAGCATTTCCCTAATCCATTAGTTTAGTAGCTATCAAAAAAGAATGAAGTTAGTCTGGGATGATATGTGCTTAATGAAGTTATGCTGGTTCTTTAAAATTGCCACTTTCTTTTCTAGATGTTCACCAATCATCTCTTTAATGATTTGTTCTAGTTTTCCAAGGAATCAAAGTCAAGCTAACTGTCTTATAGATTCCGCGCTCTCTTCTCTTCTTTTTTTTTTTTTTTAAACCAGGACAGTATTTTTCCTTCAGTTCTCTGGTACCTCTCAATTTTCCACAATATTTCATATATTAATGACAGTGACTCAGCAGTCACATCTGCTAGTTCTTTTTAAAAAATTATTTATTTAGGCAATTGGGGTTAAGAGACTTGCCCAGGGTCACACAGCTAGTAAGTGTCAAGTGTTTGGTCTGAGGCCACATTTGAACTCAGGTCCTCCTGACTTCAGGGCCCGTGTTCTATCCACTGCGATACCTAGCTGCTCCCCAAAATTATTTATTTTTATGAGCATTTATTATTTCTATCTCTTGTTGCCCTTCTAAAAAGAAAGGAAGGAGAGAGAGAGGAGGGAAGGAGAAAGGATAAAGAGAAAGGAAAAGAGAAAAGAAAGAAAAAGAAAAGAAAGAAGGAAGGAGGGAAAAAGAAAGGAAAGAAGGAGAAAGTCTTACAACAAATACACCTAATTCAGCAGAACAAATTCCCATATAGACTCAGGCAAGAAAGGATTATTGTGTTCCATCTTCAGTACTGGGACCCATGGTTTATCATTACTTGATCAGAATTTAAAATCTTTCAGAGTTGCTTTTCTCTCTGTCTCCTCACTATGGCAATTGATTTACATCAATTAAAATTCTATACAGAAATTACTTTAGCACAACATAAGTGTCCACATATTTTAAACCACTGAGAAGGAATTATTTTTTAATGCCTTTTATTTTTTATATCACACTCATTTCCAGATACATCCTTATCTGCCCAACCAAAGAGCCCTCCCTTGTTACAAAGAATAACAGTTAAGTAAAACAAATAGTGATTACATCTGACCGTACATGAAACATCAGACACCCAAAGCCCTGGCCTTTCTAAGGAAAGGGGGGAGATGTCCTCATCTTTTCTACAACTAAAATTAGTCATTATAATTACCTAGCATCCTATTTCCTTTTAGTGTCTTTTTTGTTTACAGTATTACAATTATTTCTATTGCCCTCCTGGTTCTACTTTATTCAAACTAGTCTTCTCAGCTGTTGGAGTAATGGATGGAGTGCTAGACCTGGAGTCAGGAAGACTCAAATTCTGCTCTGGCCTCAGACACATACTAGCTGTGTGACTGACCCCAGGAAAATCACTTACCCTCATTTTCCTCAACTGTAAAATGGGGCTAATTAGAGCACCTACCTCTCAGGGTTGTTGTGAGGACCAAATGAGATAATATTTATAAAGCATTTAGCACAGTGCCTGGTACATAGTAGGCCCTGTATAAGTGCTTATTCCCTTCCCTTTCCCTCATTATTTCATATAGCAGAATATTCCGTGTCATTCACATGCTACAATTTGTTCAGCCATTCCCCATTCAATGAACATCCATTTTATTTCTGAGTTGGTTTGCGTTTTTTGGCTACCGCAAAAAGTGCTGCTATAACTATCTTGGCATATATGGCTCTCTCTTTCTCTCTTTCTTTCTGACACCTCTCCCTGCTTAGGGTATACATCCAGCAAGAGGACCTCTGGGCTAAAGTGTATGTACAGTGGAATCACTGTTTACACAAATTTCCAAGTTGTTTTCCAGAATTGTTGCCCACTTCAGCAAGATGCATACAATTTGTGATTATGTCTAAGGTCGTTTCCAGCTCAAAGTCTGTGCAACAAAAGAAACTAGAGGTCCTGATGCAAAGGGGCAAATTTGGCTTCATAGTTATCATTGAGACTTCGTGTGATGAAACTCATGACTGAATGGTGACTCTGGATAGGCATACCTTATTCAAAAGGAACAGGATAAGTAAAGGGGGGCAGGAAGGGAAATTAAAGTAGTGTCGTATATTAAAACAGTATGTTCCTGTGAAGAAATCCAGGAACCAGAAGAAGGAAGCATGAAAGAGAATATTTGGATGAAGATCAAAGGAAGAAGAAGTAGAAGTAAATTTATCATTTCAGTATGCTGAAGACCATGTAGAATGAAAGAAGAAATAGATGAATGAGTCTAGAAACATCACAAGCCTGGCACAGAGTCACACTATAGTAATGATGGGGGACTTCAATTACCAGACATTTGCTGGAGTTCTCTGACAAAAGCAGAGCCTATAATAACTTCTTGACCTGCTTTAGAGATAATTTCATTCTTCAAAGAGTGAAGGAAGCAAAAAGGGGAAATTCTGTTCTGGATCTGATTCTCACTAATAGACAAAAATCTGTTGCTGGGATGAAAATGATGGGAACTTTGGAGGGAATGTTACAACTACACACCCTAGAGATTATAATTCAGGAGGAAAAGGAATCTAGGTATAACCTGCCACATACTCTATATTTTGGAAAAACAGATTTCAGAAGAGTCAGATCAAATATAAATATGATCCCATGGACTAAAATGCTTCAGGAGAAGTCAGCCCAAGAGGGATAAGAGATGCTTAAGAATGAAATTCTAAAGATGCAAAGGGAAACAGTTTTAAAGAGGAAGAAAAATAGGGTTTGTCTGATGAGACTAATGGGGATGCAATGAATTTAGATTGTAAAAAGAAATGTACAGAAGATGGAAGGAAGGACAGTTAGCAAAGAATGGATATAAGTATGGCAGGATTCTGTGAAAACAGTATCGGAAATGATAAGGCTCAAACAGAGGTGACATTAGCAAGGGACACTAAGGACAACAAAAAGAGCTTTTAAAACTTATGTTAGGAGGAAAGGGAGGGATCAAAGAAGGAATAAGACCTTTGGGATTATAGGATGTTGATAACTGTCAACAGAGATTACAGTGATGCAGTTCTAATTTTATTTCTGCTTTCTCCATGAAAGGGAATGACCTTTTCGTTGGAAATGATAGAACAGAAATGACTATCTGGGAAGTGATACCCAAGATAAGAAAACCACCGAGTCACCCTTAGTGAATTCACACCAGTTAGCCCAGATGATCTAAGTCCTTGGGTCCTGAAAGAACTAGCAGATTCGATTGCTGAGCCACTGTCGGTGACCTTTGAACAAGCATGGACATTGGAAGAGGAGCCAAAAAATTGGAAAAGGGCAAGTGTTATCCCAGTGATCAAAAAAGAAGAGGACAGTCTGCAGACTGCAGGCCAGTGACCTTGAGTTCAATTCCTGATAGACATTCTAGAAAGGATCATTACAGAGATGTTCTGCAAGGATCTAGAAACAGAAGCAGTGATTACCAAGAAGCAGCATGGCTTCACCAAGCACCCACCAGGAGCCTGATCCACCTGATTTTTTGATAATCACCAAACTGGTAAGTGAGGTAAATGCTGTGGGTTTAGTTGCGTCCCCTTGAGCAAAGCTTGTGACGAAGTACATTAGTTTTGTGAAAAAAAAAAGAGAGAGAGAGATGATAAACACTATGATAAAATTTGATGGATTCAAAAGTGACTGTATGGCCTGAGTATTTGTTAAGGGTTCTGTATCAGTCTCCAGTAGAGTTCTCCAGGGATCTCTGGCCCTGTGTTATATAACATATTTTTAAATCAGTGATATAGATAAAGGCATAGATAGTATACTCATCAAATTTGCAGTTAACATGAAGCTAGGAGAAGTAGCTAACACCTTGGATGACAGTCAAGCTCCAGAAGGATCTCGACAGGCTAGAGCACTGGGCTGAAACTGATAAGATGAAATTCAGTAGAGATAATTGTAATGTCTCAAACTTTGGGGACAAAAAAAATTATCCCTAGGCCCCGTGCTCTGTCCACTGAGCCATCTAGCTGCCCCTTCTTAACAATTAGAGCTGTCCAAAGAGAACTGAACTGCCACAACGGGTGGTGGGTTCCTCTTCTTAGGAAGTCTTTAAGTAGAGGTCGGATGTCCACTTGTCAGATATCCTTCATGTATGTACTGAAGTCCTTTCCAGCTCTCAAATTCTGTGATTCTAAAGTCTAGGAAACCTTTAGTCACATACATATTTGGTCATTTCCCTGAGAACGGTACAGAAGGAAGAATATCTGGAAAGCCATCTCCAGCATTCTCAAACTCTGGCTACTCTGACAAAATTGTCCTGTAGAGGGTGTCACAGCCACATGGGAAAGAAGTGCCCATGGTTCCTGTCCTTTCCATTCTCTGTGAAGTGGGGTGTTAGAATGTGGGGACAAAGGAGGAAGAGAGGCCTTGGGGGAAATTATACTATAGTCTCCTAGATTTATAAATAATACTGCAACTTATAACTGGGAACTGGTACATAGCAGTTTAAATGTGCCAGATTTATTTATCTTCCTAGCCTCCATTTCTCTTTTTCTTTTGATCCCACTGTCATTCAGTGTTATTTCTGGAATTTTGACTCTTCAAAAATAATTTTAAGTCTAGAGATCTAGGCAGTAGTCTTCTGGTAAATGTTAACAACTGACTCTCTGAAAAGCACTACACACTTTTAAGTTTAATTTGCATGGTTAGCATTTTCTCCATCACTTTCTTAAGTCTAGACAGTCAACAAAATAATAAATCAGTCCCTGTTTTGTAGCATTTGTTGATTTCTGAGGTGTAAATGCTCATAATGAAAGTTTGATAATTGGCTCTTGTGAACTGATTTGAGCTGGCTCTGACATAGTCCTGAATCTTAGAGTTTCCCATTACCAGATCAGTAGGGGATGGTAGGGATTTGAGAGTTAGAAGAGACTTCAGTGGCCATCTAGCTCAACAAATACCCCCAAAGAATCCCCACTACAACATACTTAAGTGGCCATCCAATCTTTATTTGAATACCTCTAGTAAAGGGGAACATATTTTTTCCCAAAGTGATGTATATAGATCAACAGATATCCATAGATTTCAAGCTGGAAGGAAATACAAAGGCCATCTGAGTTCTTTTCCAATCCCTTCACTTTAAAGAGGAGGAAAGAAGCCCAAAGAAACTGACATGACATTGTGTGGTGACATACAATGAAGTTTAAAACAGTCCTAACTTCAGGGAACTTGTTGCTCATTTGTTTCAGTTGTGTCCAACTCTCTGTAACCCCATTTTGAGGTTTTCTTGGCAAAGATACTGGAGTAGTTTGCCATTTCCTTCTCTAGCTCACTTTTCAGAACTAAAGCAAACAGGGTTAAGTGACTTGCCCAGGGTCACACAGCTAGTAAATGTCAGAGGCCAGATTTGAACTCATGAAGATGAGTCTTCCTGATTCCAGTCCCAGTACTCTATCCACTGAGCCATCTAGCTGCCCTGTAATATTAGATGACAAGCCAGCAAAGTAGATAAAGAGTTGTTAGATGGATAGGAGATTAGCTAGGAGAGAACAGAATTAGGAAAACCTCAAGAGGAGATATCCAGGAGGAGAGGGTGGTCAATAGCACTAAAGGCAGCAGATAAAAATGAGGGGGGGAAATCAGATTTGACAATTAAAAGACCATTGGTGACTTCAGAGAGAGCAGTTTCAGTTGATAAAGTCAGGAGCCAGATTGCAAAGAGTTGAGGAGTAAGAAAAAGGAAGTGGAAGCAGCAAATATAAACAGCCTTTTGAAGCAATTTGGCTTAGTAGCTCTTGCTATGAGAGTTTACTTGGAATTTCTCTCTTTTTACTAGGGCCCCAGGGCAGAATCAAAGAGACCCGAGCCAAAGTTATACAGGCCTAAAACAGCAGGGAGATGTTATAAAATTCCTTGTTGAAAGAGACATTTTATAAGGCAGATCAAGTGGTTGGGACTGACGTCAGAGATGAAGAGAGCCACATAGAACTGCCAAGAGATTACCAGGCCTGATCGCCACATGGCAAGCCATGAGAGGGGATCCCCTTGAATTGAGGCAGTTGTGTACTCCCTGTTGCCTCTCACGCATGGGAGGGAGTGGAGGAAAGCCATGACCCTCTAGAATACTGGGGAGATGAGCAATAAATGACCAAGAGCTGTCCCATTTCTTATCTATGAGCATTATATCTGAGGGGGGTGTGTGTGTGTGTGTGTGTGTGATCTGATGCATAAACCCTCACTGGAATATGGAAGGGGTGTGAGGAATGGTTATTTGGGAGAAAGAAATGTGTGAACCCAGCCACTTAACACTTCTAGGTTTACAGATGGTTAATCCCCCTTTTTTGGTTATGTGAACTGTGTACAGCATTTTGGAGGCTCATTATTCATTATTTTTTCAACAGTCTTATGGCATAGTACCCAAATAATGAGTATTTTCTTTTTGGGCCGCATGAACCTGAGATGGAGATATGAATCTTAATGAGGAAATGAGATAGGAGTTGTAATTGAAGATTTTTCTCAGCATTTGTTCCAGGGTGAGGATTAAGTATGAGCCAAATTTTGTATGGATTATGAAATATAACATGTAAATGATTGTTTTGCTTCTTAAATATCAAACTGAGACTAGAGGAACTTAAGCCAAGGAAAGGGAGTGGGTGGTGGTATCAGGTGTTTGTAGCTATTTGTCCTAATAAGCAGATGGGGCAAACCCCTTGCTTCTTCTATCTACCTTTAGTGAAGGAATGAAGCCCTTCATCTCTTGAGGGTCCATCCTCATTGTTAAATAGGGGATTACTCTCAGCGCCTTTCTTACATTAGAAAAGCTTCCAGCTTGTAGGGTTGGAGTCATTGTGATCCACCACTGAGAAATTATAGAAATATCCCCAACTATTCATATCCTCTCAGACATTCATATAAATAGATCTGTGAGCTCAGCAATTTGGATGTCCCCTGCATTGATGCATGTCATAACCTATCTGTGCCTGCCCTGCCTATATGACTTTTTTTTTTTTTTTTGGTGAGGCAATTGGGGTTAAGTGACTTGCACAGGGTCACACAGCTAGTAAGTGTGAAGTGTCTGGTCTATTCTGGCTGGATTTGAATTCAGGTCCTCCTGACTCCAGGCCCAGTGCTCTATCCACTGCACCACCTAGCTGCCCCCTGTTTGACTCTTGTCTCTGTTCTTCCCAACATGCTGGAGTCCTTTCTTGCTTTCTTCCAAATCAGAGAATTTTAGAGAGCTCAAAGGGACCTCAGTGGACATTTAGTCCTATGCTTACATAAAAGTAGTCTCCACTATAAAATACTCAACGAGTGGTCTTTGAGTCTCTGATTGAAGACTTCTAAGACGTGGGGAGCCCACTATCTCTAGAGGCAGCCCAGTCTACTTTTGGACAGTGAGAATTGTTAGGCCCATTAAGCCAAAATTGGTCACTTTGTAACTTCTACCCATTGCTCCTGGTTCTGTCCTCTGGGGCCAAATGGATCAAGTCTAACCCTTCTGGAAGGACAGCTCTTCACATACTGGAAGATAGCTCTCATGTCCTCTTTCAGTTTTTTCTTCTCCAGGCCAAACACGCTCCATCGCTTCAATCAATCTTCGAATGATATGGACTCAAGATCCTTCACCATCGTACTTGCCCTTCTTTGAACATTCGCCACCCTATTAATGTCCTTCTTAAACCAAGCTGCCCAGAACTGAAGACAATACTCCGGATGAGAACTGACCAAGAGTACAGTGGGGCTTTCACCTCCCCATTTCTAGAAGCAATTCCCCTCCTAATGCAGCCCGAGGTCATATTAGTCTTTTTGGTTGCTACATCACTCTGCTAATTTATACTGAGTTGGTAATCCCCTAAAACTCCTAGATCTTTTTTTAAAACAACTGCTGCCTCACCATGCCTGCCCAGGAGAGGATACTAGACCTGGAGTCAGGAAGACCTGAGTTCAAATGTAGCCTCAAGACACTAGCTGTGTGACTCTGGGCAAGTCACTTAACCACTGGTGGTCTCAGTTTCCTTATCTGTAAAATGGGGATAATAATAGCCTCCCAGGATTATCGTCAGGATATAATATAATAATATTTGTAAACTTTAAAGTGATAAATAAATGTTAGATATTATAGTCTTAGACTGCAGTTGAGGGATGTTACAGGGATGTTGAGGGATGAGTTGTAAAGATACTGTATTTATATCTATGTGGTATGTGCCAGCCTGGCAAACCTGTAACTTACAGACAGGCTGCAAACTTCAGAGTCTGTAACAAAGTGGGCCCAGGGGGATTCTTGAACCAAAAGCTTCCCTGTGTGAAACATTGCTGCTGACTTCCTACCAGCATCACTCAAAGGAGCATTCCCGCGAATGTATCCTCGACCCTTGACTCCTGTCTCACATCTTCTTGCATACTTTTTCATCCACTCAACATGTGCTCAACAAATAGGTCAGATTAGATCTGAGGTATAGTGGGAAGAGCATCACATGAGGATCCCAAAGACCTAGGTTCAAATCTTGGTTCTGTTACTTGTTAGCTATATGACCCAAGGCAGAACTTCTCACATCTCTAGGTATCAGTATCCTCATCTATAAAATGAAGAGGTTGGATTCAGTGACCCAACTCTAAATCCCATGAGTCTACAAATGTCATCATTTTATAGATAGGGACACTAAGGCCCAGAAAATTGAAGTAACTTGCATAAGGTTATTTAATTGCAGTAGTTAGCAGGAGGGCCCAGACTAAAACCTAAGCCTTCTGACTTCCTTTTTTTGTTTTGTTTTTCTCTTGACTTTACATCAGTTGTGTCAAACTCAAATAGAAAAGTACAAAGAGATCACTGAGGACAGTATGTTGAAGTGAAAAAATCACATATCAACATATTCTATTGTATTTTTATGTATTTTGTTAAGTATTTTCCAATTACATTTTAATCTGGTTTTGCCACAGGGAGAGTTGCTGGGCTGTGTGTTTGACACCATCAGTGTGAGTGGTCAATCTTTCTTGGTTGCATATAGTTCAGGATTTGGTTTTCTCTGAACTTTCTCTCCCATGGTAAAAAAAAAAAAAAAAGTGGTAAATGCTGAAGGCTGGTCATGAGGTTCCTGGCTGACCCCTAGCTAGAACTAGCCCAGGAGGAGAGGTGGTTCAATCCCATTGCTTGGCCTTTCTCTTCTAACAGCCTTGGATCCAGCTGTGTTGATATTGGCTAGGCCCCATCCATCTGGAAGAGGGATTAGGCCTGTTCTGCTTGACCCCAGAGGGCAGAACCTGGAGCAATGGGTGGGAGTTACAAAAGGGCAGATGTAGGCTTGATAGAAGAGAAAACTTCTTCACAATTAGAGCTGTCCAAAAGTGAAATGGGGCTGCTGGTGATGTAGTGGGGTGGGTTCCCTCTCATTGGAAGTCTTCAAGCAGAGGGTGGATTATTTTATCTGATGGTGGAAAAGAGGGTTTTTTGTTAGGTACAAGTCTTACTGGGTGGCTATCAAGGTTGCTAGCAACACTAAACTCTGTTGAATTCTCTGGTTGCCCTGTGCTAGGTGCTAGGGATACAAAGCCCCAAAAAATGAAACTATATCCGCCCTCCAGGACTTTCTTTGCTATTGTGGAGATATCATATGTGCATGAATAAGTAAAAGCAAATTAAGTTCAAAGCAATAGGGTTGGGGGGGCAGATTAAGACTGCCTCATGTAGGAGGTGGCGCCTGAGTTTTGCTTGGAAGGAAGTTAAAATTCTTCTATGGGCTCAAAACAAGTGGCAATATTTGTGACTGGATCACAGGCCTTCCTTCTTCCCTGCAACATTCAGTCTGCTTGGACAAGCACATTCAGGCTTTCATATTGACATTTGTCATCTGGAAATTAGTTTTGGTGATCCTATGACATCCCCATGGGAACAGAACAGGTGGCGAAGCCTTCAAGGTGAGCAGTTTCAGCAGTGACAAGATCAAGTGGTTGTTATGGAGACTTGCCCTCTGCGCCTGTTTTCTGCATGGCAGATCTAATGACCTGGAGGGGGGGGTGGCCACAAAGGGCTACACCTGGTTGTCATGGTGACCTCAGGTCCTCCTCCAGAGCACAGAGGTGGTGCCTGGAGAATCCAGTCCCCCCTTCTCCACACCACAGAAATATAAAGTGAAGAGAGTGATTGATTGGCAAAGGGGAAATTAGGGTTGGTCCATGAGAGAAGTGGACGGAACTGATGCTTCATTACTCAGGGATTGTATCCATGCACAGGACAAAAGGGATCTTTCTTGCTGAGCCATCCCCAGAGTGTGCCAAGTTTGACACTTCGTAGGATGACGAAGAGAGCAGTCCATTGGGTGTGATTCAGTGATTCCTCTTGATTCCCATCCTGACTGATGACCCTGCAACGGAAAGAGAAATACATTGTCTGACCAAGACCCCACATGGAGAAGGGGCCGAGGAGCAGCCCCTGGGCAGAACAAGAGAGATTGCTGTTTGGTAGAAAACAATGAAAAGGAAGAAAGTCTATGACTGAAACAGGAAAAATAAATCAACAGGAAGGTAAATCATACTTATCCAAACTCTGGTCAGTAGAGCCATTGGGGAAAGGCTCTGACTCTCCAGTGGAGGAAGACTTGGAGAATTTCTGTTTTGAGACACAGAAGACCACGTGGGGTCCTCAGGACTCACCTGAGGCTGGAAGCTGCCCAGATGCTGGATTACAGAGCCAGGATGGACAGCTCCAAGAAGGAGAAGGTAGCTCATTTTATTAGGTTTCTCTAGAAGACGTCCAAGTAAAGGAATGTAGGTGATTTATTCTGTATTGACAAGTGCATATACCTCAGGAAATTATTTTATACACAAGCCTTTTAAGAAAAATGGGAATGGGGGAGGAAGGATATTCTCTCAGGAAAACATTGGCCTTTTTTGGATGGAAAGGAAAATTCATTCCTTAGGATTGGGGATTATGCTTTCTGCTCCCTTGGACTGCACACCAGATGTGATGGAAGTTTAGCTTCAGGTTCGTTTGTGGAAAAAACTTTCCCATGGACACAGGCAAGGTCACAGGAAACCCTGGCAAAGGGTCAGTGATGCAGCAGGGAGGGGAAAAGGGAGATGTGCTTCCTTTAGAATAGTCATACCTTGGTTCAGTACAGCGCAGCTCAAAGATACTCAGTCCCCTGGGAAGATCTCACCTCATGAGAAGAGTCCTTGTTCCATGATAGAAAATGGAAAGGGTATATTTTGCTCCAAATAAGGAATAATCTAAGCATTCTCCAAATAAGCTAACTATAGTAGAATGCAAGCTCATTGAGGGCAGGGAACATTTTCATTTTTATCTGTTATCCAGCATGTAGCACCATGTTTGACACGTAGCAGGCTGTTAATAAATGTTTGTTGAATTGGATTGGATTACCACCCACTTGCCTCAGTATACGGGGGACAGAACAGAAAATGGGCTCTCATTTGATCTGAATCACCTGGAATTTGGGGTGCTAACTTCATTTTCTTATCCAACTGGCAAAAAGAGATGCAAATCTATAGGGGATGCTGGGATAAAAGAACTCCCTTTTTTGCTTCCTTTTTTCTCTCCAAATTCATTGAAGCAGTTTTTCCTCCTTATGCATTTGAATTGACAGGTCAGCACAATCACTGGCTGTTTCTCTGTCCCTGACATAGCTAATGATGTTTCAAGGAAAACAACTCCCCATCTCTCCAATGTACATATAGCAATTGTCAGGGAAACCACATCTACTCCATAACCCTCAGTATAGCAATAAAAAACCAACCCAATAAACACTTCATGAAGAGCCCACTAAGTGTCTGATGCTTAGTAGGAGTTTAATAAATACTTGATGAATTGAAATTAATTAGGTGCTGGTAATACAAAGAAAAAGAATGCCTTTCTGCCTTCTAGGAAGGAAAAGAAACAAGTATTTATTAAATACCTGTTATGAACCTGGCACTGTGCCAAGCCCTGTACCAATGTCATTTCATTTGATCCTCACAATGACTTTCAGAGGTAGGTGTTGTTATTCTCCCCATTTTATGTGGAGGAAACCAAGAACAAGTAACTTGCCCAGGGTGGCACAGCTGGTAAAAGTCTGAGGGCTGGATTTGAAGTCAGGTCTTCCTGATTCCGGGCCCAAAGCTCTATCCACTGTCCCACCTATCTGTTTACATTCTAAAGGGGGCGTACAGCAGGCTCCTAGATAAATAAATATAAAATATAATTTCAAAAGTCGTTTCAGGAGGAGAGCCAGGGAATTTTATGTTGAAGGAAACACATGAGCAGAGCCTTGAAGGAAGTTAAGAGGTCTAGGTAGGGTGAGAAGGAGTGGTGAGAAAGAAGTGTATTCTAGTATATTCTCGGTGGGAAATAGAATGTCATATACGAGAAATAATAGGTAAATCATTTGGGCTAACTGATTGGTGTGAGGGAAGAAATGAGAAATAAGTCTAGAAAGATAGATGGGCACCAGATGGTGAAGAGCCTTAAATGTCCAATGAGGACATTTGTAATTAAACCTAGAGACAATTGAAAGCCACTGAACGCTCTTGAGCAGGGGAGTGACCTGGTCAGAGCTGCGTTTTAGGAAGTTCAATTTGGCAGTGACGTAAAGGGTGAATTCGGGGATGAATTAAGAAGCTAAGGCTCTAATTAGGAGGTTTTGGCAATAGTCCAAGTGAGAGGTGCTGAAGGCATGAACTAGAGTGGGGCCTGGGGGAGTGAAAAGAATTTCCATCCTCATCTTCCGGGATGGGGAATAGCACTAAGCTGGCTTCTGGGTCCAAGGCCTGAGGAGGCTCTCACTCTTTACTCTGGCAGATCCCTCCAGTGTTAGGTTCTGTATTATGGTGCCTAAGAGGAAGACAAAATCTTCTTTCCTCTTTTTCTGGTTCCCAACATCAGACAGCATCTCTGAGTTAGAAAGGAAGTCAGAGGTGATCTTGTCCCATCCATACGTAAAAAATGAATCCCCTTTATGATGTATCCAGCCAGTGGCCAG